TTAGAAAATTATTTATATATATATATATATATATATATATACACATATATATATTTTTCTGTAGTAGTGTAAGATATATATATATGTGTGTAATTATATTTTTCTAGATGCAATATCCAGTTTTATTTTTAAATATCCATCCTACATGATTAAACCAAAATGTCTTAACAATATTATAAGTCATGATAATGATAATGATATAGTGTTAGATAGACAACAAGAAGGAAAATTATTAATAGGTATAAATTAATATATAAAAATTTTGTATGATAGCGAAAAAACCAAAAAGTTAATATAAATTTATGATAAAATATCATAAAAGATTAATTAAAATTATATTATATTAATATTTTTAGAACATCATATATCTACAAACTTACAATATGTTGGATTACAAGTATGGCGAGGTGCATTATTATTAGCTGATTATATTTTATCAAATCCTAGTTTATTCAAAGATAAAATAGTTTTAGAATTAGGTGCTGGAGTTGGTTTAACTAGTATAGTAACTAGTTTTTTAGCAGAAGAAGTAATTTGCACAGGTAATGAAATTTGTAGTGAAATAATGTAATACTATATATTATTTTTTATATTTAAAATAAATATTATATATTTATATAATATTTTAATTTCTAGATATTGATGTCAAAGGAATATTGAAATTAATATATAGAAATTTTATACGAAACAAAAATTATATTAAAGCTAAAATTTATATTAAAGAATTAGATTTTTTAAATTTAAAATCATTTACATCTTATAAGAAAAAATTAGATAAAGCAAATGTTATTTTAGCTGCAGATGGTGAGTTAACTTTATATCTTATTACAGTTATAACTTTATAAACTTATTTTTATAACAAAAATAATATATGTTTGATAATATCTTATGCTTACAGTAATTTATGATAAAACTATAACTGAAGGATTTGTTCAAACATTAAATGAACTTTTAAATTCAGATATATCGAAAGTTATTTATATTGCTTTAGAGAAAAGATATGTTTTTACTACAGCTGATATGAAAACTACTGCACCTATGTATGAAGAATTTTTAGGATTTATTGAAGCAAAACATTTTAATTGGCATATTGAATATATTAAAATAGATTTTCCACAATATTTTAAATATAATAGAATAAAACAGATGGTTCTCATGAAAATAGAAAACAAGTTAAATAAATAATGTAATTTAATATATAACATATATAACATATTTACGGACATAAGAAAAATATTAAACAGTATTAAGTAACTAATCATATAATTGTAAAAATCTTGGATAAATTTAGAATGTTATTATAAATTTTCACTACTAATAATTTTATAAATGAAAATAAAGTTTTTATATTCTTATTAATTTTTTCATTAATTATAGTAAAAGTATATGTAGCATAATTTATTATTTCATAAAAAGATATATTTTTCCGAAATTACATGATTGTTTGTGCGTATGTGTGTATTTGTGTATATAGAAACATGTACTACAATTTTATTCAAAAAAGCTACCCCTTAGAAGGAAAATAATTTTTAATATAATGTTATAATAATATAATTACCATTATATAATTATTCTAAAAAATAAAAGAATATATTAGGTTGTCTTGAAATAAATTGCAATTTTTTATTAGTATTTCTAATATTTAAAATTTTACATATTATAATTTTATGAACTGTAAACTAATTTTATATTTGTTATATAATATTTTAAATTTTTCAAGAAATTTATTCTCAAATATATTCACAATCAATATAAATATTGCACTACATAATTTAGTAATGATACTTTGATTTTCTCTATTTAATTTTTATTAATTTCATCAATATAAATAATGATATAATAATAAGAAAAAACATTCATAAAAACTTTTTATAATTTAAAATATTAAAACAAGAGAATTTTAAAATATGAAACATATTCTGCAAAAATAAAATAAATTCTGCTGAACATATAATTTTTATATAATTTTTTGTTCAATATTTTGTAAAAATTTTTTTATAATGCTTGTATAAAGGTTTTTTTTAAGATATAGGATAATTTGTATCTCATCAAAAAAGCTATATAAATTGATGAATTAATGAATTTATTTCGATTAAATAAATTAATTTTAAGTAAAGCTATATACATCATGTTATCAAAAATCGCAATTAATTTTCGAACAACCTAATAATTTGAATAATTTCAAGTAAAAGCACTGAACACTTTAAATTATAATATTTCTATGTTTATTGTATTTTTTATTTACAACCTAGCATAAGTATTAATGGACAGTGATCTAAGTCGTTCGAAGAGAACATTACTAGAAATTAATACTTAAAAATTGAATAAGATTTCATTTTATATATAGAAATATCTCGGGAATGTAATTGTTTCTTCGAACGATTATCGGCAGTAAAATTGTGTATATTATATATACACAGAGAATAAACTTACTGTAACTTACTAAATTTCATCTATAAGTTTATCTGAAAGAATGACAATCGACAAAGAAATCTTTACTAAAAATAAAAAAACATACAAACATTTAACGCATTATAAATGAGCACAAATCCTTAATGTAAAGGTCATATATTGGCGAAAGTCACTCTCACATTCAGATTTTCTCGCTTTACAAAGGCACTTTTTTTATAACAGTTCATTCCTTACTTTGGGGTAAAACCTATAATTTACAGCCTCAGTTTATTAAATTGAGTTTATAAGAAATATCTGAAGTAATTTTATCAAGGTCCCATATTTTAAGAGATTATGTGCTAATTTTCCAAGTTTTGTATTAACTTCAGATATTAAATTTATTCATTAATCTATAAGATTATAATTTAAATTAATATTACATAGGAGGTACAACTGTTTTATCATGTAAAAGAATAATCTATTATCTCATGAATATACAATATTTATCCAATGACCTTGATTTCCTTCAAAATGTAGTTATATGTAAATTTAACATATATTATTGAATAAATTAAATGTATATACATATATGTAGAAATAAATGTAGAAATAAGCAGTTGAACAAGACGTGGCCTGCACGAATGCGGGTAAAAGACGAGAGACGAAAGCGACTCATCTCAGTCGAACGCGCGATATTTTGACCATATCGATTGGTCAAATGCTGTTACCCGTTCGTGTATAAAAAGAGGTTTTTTTTCCAATAAAGTCAGTCTTATCCGACACCTACTAGAGTAATAGCAAGTACAAGCGGCAGACGTCTTCTACGTATTCTTGTTCTTCATGTTACCTAGTACGCTCAGGATTCGGTGACTAGGAATTATATTTCTTATATGTTCAAATAATACCTAAAGGCAGATATTTTCCCTTGAGGAAACAAATTTGCAAACAAATTTTTTTACTATTCATAACTCCGCAAATGAAGGAAAATATTTCCTTCTTAAGATTACAAATGATGCATCTTTCAATTATCATTTCATCTTCAATTTTTCTAAAAACCTCGTCACCGGAATCGAAGCGAACACTTTATATTGTGGTATCTAGAAAAAGTCAATTTTTATCACTCTATACCATTAGAATTTAATCCTTCAGTGTTTAAATTTTCTTTAATATTTGTATTATTTTGTTTAGTATCTAAAGATGCATGACAGCCTGAATTAAGCCATTTTTCAACTTGAGCTTCATGCGACTTTTGTAGAACTTTTCGAATATCACTATCTTCGCCTCCTTCTTTCATGATTTCTTGTAATTTTTGTATTGTTTGATATAAAACCACAGGACTAATTAGACCAAAATCAAACAAACTACACATATGTAAAACAAAATTACGATACAAATTTTTCATGAGCAATTCCTTTCCTTTAGTTTCTAGAAACATTTGGCAAGCCAATGGTATTTGGCAGTCTCCTACATATCCATATTTCATGACATGTAAATTCCACATTTTCATAAGTTCTTTTTCTCCTTCATTCACATCTGTAAAATCATCAATCATCATCCTTGTTTTTGTTTGTAACCATTTTGGATCATTTTCTCCTTCAGAATCAATATCCATTTCTTTTGGATATATAGGTAAACACGTAACAGTATGATGATACAATCTATGAAAATTTTCATAAATCATATAATCTATTATATAATAAACAATATTTATTTTAAATAAATTTTGTACCTATTATGCCCTGTAATATAAGGTCTCTGGCTTTCATATTCATTTTCATCGAGTTCTAAAAATTCAGAAAGACTTGGCTTAGTTCTTTTTGGACGACATACTAAAATATTTGTTACACTTGTTCGTCTTGTCGGTCCTGTTCTTGAAAATGCTACATTCGATGGTTGCGAAATTAATTCATGAGGACTACCAGCATAAGAGCCATCATAACATTCATTTATTGCTACATCTATGCGAGCACCTTGTGGAATTGGCTATTAAAATAGCCATAATTACATTATAATGTCGTTATGTTATGTAGAATTATATATATTTATACTTACCACATACGTAAATGTAAATCGCGAATGGCATAATTTTAAGTGTTTTAAAAGTGAATAAAGTTTTCCACAATCTAATGAGCACCATGGACAATGTAAATCTTCACAAGCTTCTGTTTGTTGCCGACTATTATTATTATACAGGAACTGATAAACTATTTGCTGTGTACCCATAACAGTATCTGTTTTTTCACTAGATGTCGTCATTCTTGAAGAATTAAGGGGACTAGGTGTTGGCAGTGTAGAGTTATTGTTGTTGTTGTTGATATTATTAC